TTGATGAAATCACAATCCAAGCGATTTGTTGATGAATTATGATAGTGCAATGTTTCGCTTAGGAAAGGTGTAAGAATGTCAGACAGCGGGCTCTGCTAAAATGCCTGGTCCTAGTAGTGTTATTCTCACACACATGCATGCTGCTACAATAACAAAACCAGTAGTTAACAGAGCTTCAAAGTACTCGCTGCCATAACAAACAAACAAACATAAAGGTTTAACTCGTCACATGACTGTAAACTTCAAAAGCATCCACAATTTCACACGACTTCTTCACATGATATCTTAGCCTCTTAGTGTTTGCATCTCATGTTAGCTTGTTAATCTTCCCACAAGGGAGAGTCTACACAAAGATCAAGTTTCTGGACAAAATGAGATTGGTCGGTACTGTGATACTCTAGGTAACAGTTTGTCTACTGGAATTTATTCATGTCTAAAATAGCAATGCATAATCGCATATCAATATTTGATTAATGCATACTGAACAGTATTGAGTGATTCTATATAGGTAGGATGTCATGTATACTGTTGCTTTCAAATAACCCATCCACATTCCCAAAGCTGCATAATCGGTCATCACTGTTTATGCTCTAGGTATGAGAGAAACAATTACAACCATCTTTTTAGAACAATGGCAATTTAACTAAATTCGATGGATTACTTCAAGTTTAGTTTGTACTCAGGAAGTTGTAATCACTTTTCTTGTTTCACTTTTAACATGTATTTGTCAAGAAATAATAGGTATGGAACACTTTAAGTTAGACATTCTTATGACTATCTCAAGTGTCTACTTTGTGGCAGGTTGCAAACTCTAATGTTCGCCATAATGCTTTACATCTTCTACTGGATTTATTTCCCCTCGAAGACCCAGACGTGACAAAGGATGTCAACGATCCTCTGTTAGAGAAGCAGTTCTTCCTGCTAGACAAACTTCTCATAGATGACTGCCCAGAAATACGGGCAGTCGCAGTTGAAGGAATTTGTCGTATTCTTAACCAGTTTTGGGAAGTTATTCCATCGCCAACCATTTCAAAAAATTTGAGTAAAATTGTTGATGACATGTCCAAAGATTCTTGCAATGAAGTTCGTCTATCAACACTGAATGGCCTGATATACTTGCTTGACAATCCACAAAGTCATGACATAATGAAAGTGCTACTTCCAAGATTAAGCGATATGGTTTCTGATCCTGCTTTATCTGTCAGAGCTGCTGCTGTAGATCTCCTGTTAACTATTCGTGATCTTCGATCTTTCCAGTACAATAAGGTATGGTACATAGTTATTGCATGCATATCTTGATTTACATTGTAACCTAACTGACCTTTGCATTTACAGAACTTTCAATTTGAGCAAATAGGCTAGCGTATATTTGGATATTTCTGGGTAGGAGTTTAATACACACTTTTCTGTTCAGGTTGTTGGTTTGGGTACTCTATTGTCTTCACTTGCAGATGATCATCTCCGTGTTGCTAAAAAAATCACAAAGCTTCTCATTCCTTCTTACTTTCCATCTAAGTTGCCTTTAAAAGAAGCATGTGATCGCTGCATTGCACTCATAAAGAGATCGCCGGCAGCTGGGGCAAGGTTTTGTGAATTTGCTCTGTCTGAAGGATCATCCCCGCAGCGTCTTGTTGGGCTTATTAAAGTCTCTATTAGTCGGGCATTGTCACCATCAGGATTGAATTCAGAGCAGACTGATGGTCTTGTTATTGCTTCCGCCAAACTAATAAAAAGCTTATCTGACGAGGGCTCTAATTTGGTTGCTTTGAGAGAGTGCTTTGCAAATGCTAAACTGAAGCTGCTCTTTAAAACTGCAGTTTCTGATGGTGCCCAGGCTGCTCTTTTCAGCATGGTGCCAGTGGTATCACCTGATGATCTATGTGTGTTACATATCGAATGCATGAATATAGTTGTGAATGCTGCAGTGACTTCCAAGCAGGAAGAATGTCAAGAAGCATTGTTGGCAGCGCATAAGTTGGTACATTTGAGTGGTCGTTCTGATGAAATGTTTGAAGAATTGACTAATATTTTGCAATCTAAAGCCTCTTATTTTTCTGGGATTTATGGACTTGAACCTCCATCATGCCCAGTTGCATCTACAAAGAGGAAGAAAGGGAAGTCGCTTAAGAAAACGCCAGCAAGGTCTGACGATGTGGTTGGAAATAGGTCATCCACACCAGTAATCCTGAATAATGAAGAACTTGCTGCTGTAGGGGGAGCAGCATGGCAGCTTAGTGAAATACTAAAAGCTGAGGAGATGAGAGCTGCTTTTGTGCAATCTTATGCAGAAATTGCATTTTCTTCTCTGAAGGTGATTTCTCAAGTGTACATTGAGCAGTGCCTACATTTTGAATCACTAGACCTCAGTCCAGTGTTGGCTTATTTGAGTTTGGCTACATATAGTGCTCTTCAGGATGTTGATCAAACGGATATAAGCTGCTCTGAGGTGAGTTGATTTACGCAGTGCCACCACACCTGTTATCTTGTTAAACGATTCTTATCTGGTTATGCATCAATAGGAACAAATCTAAGATTCGTTTTTTTCGCGGGTGTAGATTTGTTGATTGCACTACTGTTATCTTAGATAGCTTTCCATAGATCTGTGTGAATGTTATTCAGTATTTATATTTAATATTTGCTAGTCTCATTGTAAATTTCATCTTGTGTTAGTCGACAATTGTCAACCAGTCACTGGACCATCTGCTGAGATGCTATGATAGATTTGTAAATGGATCTGTTACTGTTTCCACCAACTCAACTTCAACATTGAACAAGAATAAGGAATCTGCAGAACATAAACATCAGCAGCATGTCACCCCTGAAGGTATGCCTTCACAAAACCCATACAAGCTCTTTATGTGGCAATCCTCTTTAAATTGATTGTTTATTCATCAACTCAAGTGAGTATCTGATGTTCTGATAGCATGCAAAGAGTGTAAATAAAAATTTCATGTTTAAAATCATCGTTATCTGTGCATATTGTATCAGTGCTGCATAATTTCTCGGTCAAATTTTTTTTCGTACACAATTTTGCTTATTACCTCATAAATAAGTAAGTGATGCATCTTGTGCAGGAAATCCAGTGGTATGCACAATAAATGTGATTATGCTCGGCACTTCAATTCTTAAGTTCATTGTCGATACGACAACCATCAAGCTGGTCAATGAGAGTAAAGTAAGATGTGTCGGATTTGCATCATCTTACACAAAATATGCAGTGTCAGCCATGAAAAGGCACACTGAGGGCTCATCTTTCAATGGGGATGATCTGAAAGACATACTGATCCTTACACGAAGCTCCTTCACTTACGCAGCCAAGCTGCTTCATTTGGTGCTAGCAAGCTCAACCGAGTCGGCGAGTCCCCCAGAGGAGGCCTTCCTCCTTGCCAATAATCTTCTTGATCTTGTACCTGCTGTCGAATCCTTTGCAGGCCCGAGATATGCTCTCACACTAGTTTCTGTCGTAAAACAGTGGTTGCCAGTCCTGATATTGGGTCTTGGATGCCGCTGGTTGCTTGGACCAGAAAGTGAGATTGCTACTAAGACGTGCAACTTGGGTGACGCTGACTTGCCACTGTGGGTTGCCGTTCTGGCCAAGAATGAGCTGCTTGAGGCGGAAGAACCTAGGGAGAATGATCAGAGCGAGCAAGGCAACGAGCATGAGGAGTCACCGTCATCCAAAAAGCTGGCAGAATTGATGGTGACCCTGCTGAAGAAAGGAAGCCCTAAAGTCCTGGATTCTGTGGGTGGCATTTTGCTTTCCAACCTCCAGTTGGCGCTGCAGAGAGCGGAGCACGGCATTGTCTTAGGCTTGGCACGCTTTGTTTGTGACAAGCTGCTTGCGAGCAGCAGCAGCTCATCAACCTCCGAGAACCTGCGGCTCACTCATGATTCTCTGCGTGAGAGCTTCTTTGAGGTTGACAGGCATTGCAGGGAGGGCCTTGTTGATGATGAAGGTTCAATGCAGCAGCTGGAGAGTGCAAAAATATTGATACAGTCGGTACTCCCCTATGATGCATGCAGTCAGACGAGCTGACTGGTGACGGGGGAAGTTAGTTAACCTGGCAAGTACGTACTTACCACTCAGAAATCTGCGTTTCTCAGAGAATTTCTGTGTAGATATACGGCAGTTGGTTTCTTGATTCGAGACCCAGCTATCCTTTCACTTCGCTGCAGTTTGGGAAGGCGCTATGCGGTACGTTGTAGGGCAAAGTATTTTGCAGCAGTACCCTGTTGCTGCAGCTGTGTATGGACATCTACTTAACAGAAGTCGTCAATTGCACAAATTCCAAATCAAATAAGCAACCATGTATGTTGCTGGAACATTTGATATGTAACTGTATGAGCATTAAGCTGCCGATTTGTTCGAATGAATCAGCTTCTTTTAACAATGAATCACTGTAACCATTTGTGTAACAATAGTATTACATATGTACTCCCTCCGTTCCTAAATATAAGTCTTTGTAGAGATTTCATTATGAACCACATACGGATGTATATAGATGCATTTTAAGTGTAGATTCATCCATTTTGCTCCGTATGTAGTCCACCTAGTGGAATCTCTACACAGACTTGTACTCCCTGCGTCCGAAAATACTTTTTGGAGGAATGGATGTATCTAGACGTATTGTAGTTCTAGATACATCCATTTTTATGCATTTCTCTGACAAGTATTTCCGGACGGAGGGAGTACAATCTTGTGAGGTCTACGCCCTACACCAGTTGAAACCTCATAACGCAAAGTTAGTGTGCCATACTTGTATGAAGTTATTGCGCTGGGCAATTTACCACTTGCCTTGGTTTTCAAGTGCAGCTGGTTAATCTGCATTGCATGTCTGATCTGGGGCATGCAGGAAGTGGCATTGAGTCGGATGTTTCTTCGTGGTACGGTGTCAATCTCCGATTCTTGGGTCACGGGACACTTGTTCAGAGTCCATGAACATGATGAATCACTGGCCAGCATCAGCTTACCATGATCATTGCCGATATTTTGCTCTAGTCTACAACTTTCCATAACCGTCGTGTTCTTCATGAGGTTCTACAGAAATGAGCTTGATCATGGCGGCAATGGGCATTCCAAGGAAGCCAAAGAGGATGCAGACGAGCCACTGGAGCTGGGTCAGCGGGGTGGTGTTGGCAAAGTCGCCCAGGAACTGGACCAGGATGAACTGGAAGACGACAGTGCCGGTGAGAACGCCCACGAAAATAGAGTTCTCCAACATGCCCTTCAGAACATTGATCTCCTCCATCTCCCTTGAGCTGACCTCATTGAACACCTACGGAGATGCAAATCAAAAAACGGAGCCATGAAGCAGAAAAAAAAATACTAACAAATTGTTTGATTCCGCTTGAACACGGTAAAAACAAAACAGAGACCCCAAAACCAATAAATCACATCGTATTAATCCTCTGCAAGAAATTATCCACTTCTCTTGGTACTTCAGCTCAAATAATAATTATTACTATCGCCATGCTGCCTTCTCTCTAACTGTTTTAAATGATAATATTCAACCCATACGACACAATTTCCTTCCACTCTATCTGGTTCTACTCCCTCCGTTCGGAAATATTGACGTGGTTTTACGTTTTAGTTCAAATTAGAACTAAAACCACGTCATTTATTTCCAAATGGAGGGAATAGTACTTTAGAAGAAAAGACGATGAAAGAGGAGAGCATTTTACGAGAGCCGACATACCTGGCAGAAGACGAAGGCGTTGAATATGATTGTATTTAGGACAGTATCAGCCTTGGAGCCTTCAAGCCCAAACACATATCTCCCTTGACTTTGTAGATACCAGATGATGGTGAATTGGTACAACGACTGCCCCAGAATATTCCTCCACATCACGTTTGTGATGAACTTCCCTGTCCTTCCTACTGGTGCTTTCTCCATCAAGTTATCGTTAGGTGGTTCGGTGGCAAGTGCTAGCGCACCTAGGGTGTCCATGATCATGTTGACCCAAAGAAGTTGAACGGCTGTCAGCGGCGCATCTCCTGTCATGAGATTACGTAGTAGACCGTGAGACGGAGGCATATGAAACCAACAATATCATGGGTAGGATATACCTGTAAAGCACGCAGAGGAGAAGTTGACCAGTAATGCAACAATATTAACAGTCAACTGGAACTGCACAAACTTTTGGATGTTGACGTAAACAGAGCGTCCCCATTTCGCAACAGTAACAATCGTGGAGAAGTTGTCATCCAGAATCACGACATCAGCGCTCTCTTTCGCCACCTGCGTAAATGCATAAGTCAATTTAAGATAAACTTAGAGTTAGGGGGCAAATGCCTGTCAAAAACATAGAGAAATACATAAGTTATTATCTTAAAAAATGGAGCCTCTCACCACTCAGGAATCAGATAAATATTTTAATTTGCTTTCTAGATTCACCAGCAAACAATATTGGCAAAACACAAACAATAGCAAGTCAAACCACGTATATACTGTTAGTCCTAGGAATAATCCACACCCCACAGCCACTACATCTCAAAGCCAAATATCCCTTCATAATTTCATATAAAAACCGGAGAAATGTATAGTATAAGCCATGATATTTCAATGCTATGTATGCATCACTCAGTGGTGTCATTACCTCAGTCCCTGCAACGCCCATGGCAAGTCCAATATCCGCCTCACGCAGCGCAGGTGCATCATTAGTGCCATCACCAGTCACAGCAACAACTTCATTGGAAGTTGTGCGCAAGTGCTTCACAAGTGCAAGCTTATCAAGTGGCGACGATCGGGCTAGCACCTTTAGTTGCACAAGACTGACACATGAGAATTCACTAGATGGATAGACACTTGCAAAGCCAAGATAAAACAGAGGAATGGCAAACCTGCATTTTGGGAATCAGCTCAAGGAGTTCTTCAGGTGTTTTCTCTCTGAACTCAGCACCTTCAATGGCAAGACCGCCATCAGTAAGTATACCACATTCACAAGCAATTGCCTTTGCTGTATTAATATTGTCCCCTGTAACCATTTTAACCGCAATGCCAGCAGACCGGCAACTTGCCACAGACTCCCTGACACCCGGACGCACAGGATCTTTAATACCAACAATGCCAATGAAGGTGTATCCCTGTAGTGGTATTTCCTCTTGAGTAGAGCCATCTTCCAATCCCCTGTAGGCAAGGCATAGTGTCCTAAGAGCTTCACTCGAAAAGGTTTCAATGGTATCATTGAGCATGTTGGCAGTTTTCTCATCAAGGGGAACTATACTACCGCTGCCGTCTATGAACTTATCACAGGCAGCCAATACTATTTCTGCAGCACCCTTACAATGTGCACGGTATCCTCCTTCTGGAAGCTCGAGAATAACAGTCATCCTCTTTTTTACTGAATTAAAAGGCTCCACTTTAACAATCTTAGTTTCCTGCCGTTTTCGTTTATAGTTTCCACCTAATGACAGTGCAAATTCCAACAAAGCTGTCTCAGTAGGGGTACCTATTATATCTTGCTTTCCATCTTGGTCAATCACGACTTCACCGCCAGTGTTGGTGAGTATGGATTCTAGAAGAGTTTCTACTGCAACTTCTGGGAGTTTTGAAGACAAACTAGAAGGAACCAGCGGACCGTTAACTTCCACGGTATTCCCACAGATGCAGGCCTTCACAACAGTCATGCGATTGGATGTTAGTGTTCCTGTTTTATCACTGCAAATGACTGTGGCTGATCCCATAGTTTCGCAGGCAGCCAACTGCCGGACCAGTGCCTTATCATTCATCATCTTCTCCATTGCATAGGCAAGGCTCAGTGTGACTGCTAATGGCAACCCCTCAGGCACAGCAACGACAACAATTGTAACCGCGACAGCAAAATGATTCAATATCTCTAAAACATCATCTCCTGACCAGCTCAAAAGAAGCCCATCATGATATTTCTGGCCAATTAATTCTTGGGAGAGGACAACGAAAGTTAATACAGCAAAAAACAGGCCGATTTTCCCAATAATATTTGCAACTCCACTAAGTTTAACCTGAAGCGGAGTTTCATCATTCCCACCTTCAGTGAGAGCAGCCATTAGCTTTCCCCATTGTGTCCGCATCCCGACCGCTGTAACCAGCATTTGGCCAGACCCATCTAGGACTTTGGTCCCTGATGAAAGAAAAGGCTTGTCTTCATTTACATCAACAGGCTCACTCTCTCCAGTTAGACTGGACTCATCCAACAACAGAGAAAACCCGGAAATAAATACACCATCTGCAGGAACCTGATCTCCAACAGCTAGATGGACGACGTCACCGGGAAGAAGATCATCTATCAATGTCCTTTGCCTGAACCCGTCCCTTGTAACCTGAACAAGAATTTTCCTCTTCTCTTTGTCCAGGTCCCTGAATTGCAAAGACTGCTGGTAGTCACTTGTCGCGGTAACAGAAACAACCAGGATGATACTCGCGAAGATTCCGATGCCATCATGGGAGCCGTTCGGCCAGCCTTCCGTGGCAATGCCAACAGTCAAAGAGACAAAAGCACAGGCAGCAAGGATTATCAGAGTAGTATCTTGCAGTGCATCCCATACAAACTCCCAGAAGCTGCGAGGCTCGCTCTCAGCGAACTTGTTTACTCCATAAATTTCCTGCCTCTGCACCAAGAGGTCCTCGCACGTGCTTATCCCATCGGTCAACGATGTCGTTAGCTTGTCCGCGATCCCACCTAACTGTCCGTGCTCGGTCAGCCTTTCAGTGTCACGGCTTTCGACCATGGATGTCAGTTCATCGGCGTCGATCTGAAACCCTGCCGCTCTAACATCTTCGGGGATGACGTATCGACTGCTCTGAAGTGAAAGACCTGAGCACATATGTTTGGGGCAACATGCTTAGAAGATACTAGTAGCACTCTAGCAGCGTCCCATGCTGCATTCAAATAAGAACAAAGTACGGCACAACTTGAGCCCAAGCTATGTGATAAAGCGACTGAATCTTTGTGTAGTTTTTACCATTTTGTAGCTGCACGGCGGCTTTCGATGTGGACGCAGCAACCTGCAGCTTCTCCTGCAATACATATACAGCATTCATCCAGGTTAAGTTAGCATGACGAAGTAGCTGAATTACACTGCACTTGTGCAAATGAAATGGTAGAACTTAATACAAAGTTGCAACTAGAGAAGCATCCCAAGTCTAAGATTTTCGGTCAGCCAAGCTGAGGGCATGGATTGTTTCGTGAGCTCCGATTTCAAGCGCAAGGCAATAATCTATCTGACGAGGTAGAGAGGGGGAGGGGGTCGTACACGTTGGGGTGGACTGGAGCTGGAGAGCTGGCCGGCGGCGGCGAAGCGGAAGCCGTGGCGGTCGGGCCTCTCCGTCTTCGCCGCGCCGCAGGGGTTCCGGCGACACAGCCGCCGGGGCGTCGGCGTCGACGCGCCTAGACCCGGGCGCGCCCATGGGGTCCGACGGCAGGGGAGAGCAGCTGGCGGTGACGCGGCGCCGGAGAAGGGGGCGAGCTGAGGGGGCCGAGCAAGGAGGCCGCTGTGCATCTTTCTGATATCTTCGTTTTACGTGTCTGTAGCATTTGACACAGGTATTTACAAGCCTAGCAAGACATTTCTCCACTGTTTCTCTCTGGAAAATAAGTATATGTTCCTTCGATTTGTTAGGTTTAGAGGTCAGAATTTTTGTACTGACTCAGATGCATCAGGGGGATTTGAATTTCACATGAAAGAGCACAACCAAATCACCGGGTATCATGTCCAAGTAGTTGCACGAAATCATATTTTTCATCCAATCTACCCCTGAAACTCCATTTCTCTTCAGGCCTGAAACTCCATTTCTCTTGTGGGAAAGTCCTGCTCTTTGGCGACGATTAACTCAAATGCCGTGGCGATATTTACATATTATTCTCAACAACAGAAAAATAATAGAAATACATGTACAACAGTCTGTAAGTGGGGGGTCACAACATATCATTACAGTGTTGCCTACAAAACTTGTGGCTCTGCTATCTTACAACTTCTTGTTACACTTGAGGAAGAAAGAATCAATGGGTATATGTTTTCCCTCTTTGGAGGACTTCAGTTTCTTCTTGGCCGTGGGCGTGCTAGTAGTAGAGCATGGCCGTTCAGCCAACCTGCCAAATATGGAACAGGACAACGGAGACCAAGTTATGTTACATCCTGTTCATCTCTTCTCTAAAAGGTGGAATAATGATGCAACATGAAAAAGCTAATACTATGTTTCAATGAACTTCCCATTCGAGCAAACTATTTTTTTCCCCAAATAATTATGGGAATTGGAGTCAAAATAAGCATATATGTAAATACTGCGGTGGCAGAAGCACAAAAGCAATAGGCAAAATCATAACTATTAAGCATATGGCAACAGACAAATACCTTTCCTTCGAGAGGCGGGCTGTGTTGTCTACCGCCTCTTCCTGTTGCAACATTTCAGCCAAGTGGAAATCCGAATGTTCCTGCCTTTCCTCCTCAAAACATGGAGGTAGCTCAAATCCGCAGAGGGAGCAAATATAGCCATCTACCCAGAAATGCTGACCAGGTTTACTCGACGAAGCACAAGCTTTGGAGCTTGTCAAGTCGCCCAACTCATCAAACTTCTCGGTCTGCGTAACCTGCATGAAGAACCAAGTTTCATTGCTTCTATCATCAAGCATTTGTGAC